GGATCAGGGCATTTTTCACTTTGAAGACAAGCTGAACAAGTGAACGAGAGGGTCTCACAAGTGGTCTTGGCTAGTAGTCTGAAGAGACCTACTGTCCGAAAAACGTAGCAGATAGGTTACGAGTCACAGCTTCCAACGTAGTTTGTAGCACTCATTTTTTCAAGATGTCAGTCTATAACAACGTCGGTCACCGTGGAAATTCAAATATTAGCCCTATATTCTGTGCCCTTGCCTAAATTACCACAAAATATGACAATAAACTCAAAAAAGGCAGTTGGTCGGAGGTCAACCAAATCGGAAATAGGTGCAAGCACCCAGTATTCTTCAAGGGAGGGATGCGCAATTGCGCTGTAGTTGTAAATAAATATATTTTGAAATAAAAGTAATTTTGCCGCAACATTAGCAGAAATTGGACATACGTAGATGTTCAACTAGTGTTGTCTTCTTCGTCGAATCTGATCCAAAAAACCAAGGCCTCGTCAACTTCGGAGCATTTTCTGCTTCAGAAACGTTCCAAACGATGAGTTTGGAAAGCAAATCTCAGCGACTTGCCAATATTCGAGCTTAACAGCCAGCAGCTTGCATTCCTATAACTTCTGGAAAAGCACGGACACCTTTGAGTCTAATTAGCTATCGAGTTACAGCTGTTTGTTTTGAGGCAGCCCTGCACAATAGTAGTACAGAGGAAACGAGGAAGAGGTGTTCGAGCAAATGTTTTTGAAAACAGTCATATTTGCAGTGCGCGTAACGCACCGGTCAACAAATCAACGGTTCTCCATCTGGAATCGGGCAAGGGATGTAATCGTAAATAATTTGTAAAAGTAAATGAGGGATGGAAACAGAGGAGATGATGAAAGGACATACATTTGAGAGGTATAAAAACGTTTGCGCTTGATGGGCTCTGCTCAAGATTGCGCTATGCATTCGGCTATAAACAGAAAATAGAGTGCTCAACACCCATGCGATAACTTGCGGTTGCCAGCGATATAAAAAAACTTCAAATTACTCAGAGTAAACTCACTGGGTGTGCTGTTACACGCCCAGTCAAAAATACCCTCAGAAATTGGAAAGTTTTTTTCTGGAGTGACCAGCAAGAAGTTCATCCAGACATTTTATGAGTCACTGTTCAATAGAGTCTAGGTGTGTATAAATACTTGGGCCACCATTCAACAAGGGTGACTTTGCTGCAGCCTTTGCTGGATACAGGTATCGAGAGTATCGCCCATTTCCAGCATAATACTTCATGGAAGCAAATATCTGCTTGCGTATAACCTTACGAAGAAATCTATGTGTAGCCGAATCCGTTAGCTTGATCTAGACAAGGCTGGTCTTTCTTCGAAACTCGTCCCACCCTGGTTTATGGAGAAGAGCTCTAAGCTCCACACTTTTGGGGCATTCATTCGTATTTATTGAGATCGTATCTTTCACTGATGACCGGTCCTGCAAGAGCAGATTCAATGATGAAGCTGACTGAATCACTCAGAATAAATACCGAGCAGGTGTATCTATGTACCGCGACTTGTCTACTACGCCAAAAAATCGGGACCATCACCAGAGAAGTTTGGTTGACTCTATTTTAACTCAGGAGCAGTTTTCCTTCGGATAACTATCCTGCCCCGCAGCATTTCCTTGTTACTTCTCCATCACTTGTTCAGCTATGGAGATGGCATCCTTTGCAGACCTTTCTGGCATGGTGCCGAAATACCGTGAGATCAGGACCAGTTCCCTCGATCTTGACTAGGTCAACTGCTCGTACAGTGCCATCGTGTGAGCAGCCAACCTGAACCAACCGTAACTAGAACCCTGCTTGTGTCTGCCTGAAGATGGGAGTGATTGTGCTGCTCTTCCTAACATCAGTGACCCTTCCTTCAGCGGTCACGGTGTCCAAAAGTTCAGGAATGGGGTAGCCACCTAAATCTGTGCTGTCCAAGCGTCTTCAATGCATCGATTGGCACATCATTCGTACCAGAAGCCTTCCCGTACTCCTTCCTCATTGCTCGACAGAAAGCATCCCCTGTCCAGAGAGCGATAGAACGCGCCATCGCTTCTACCTGGGTTGCTGTTCTTACACTGTCTGTTTAAGGACCTGTCGTAGTATTCTTCCCACAAGCGCCTGGGCTCACCTCGCTTCCTCAGGGTTGCACTGTTGTTATCCTTCACAGCCTTTGAGTTGCCCGGTGCCGCGCCTCGATCAGTCGGAAGACGAACTTCTCTCTTTCTAACCATCGAGCCTCTCTTACAAGGCGTTTACGCATGCTTTGCTCTCGTTACAGCAGCCCTGGCGATATTGCTGCATTTCTGTAGGTAGCTAGTTCTTCTGGAGCTTGCGTCTTTTGCCACGTCTTGTAAGAGGATATCTTCTTGGTACAACTTTCTCGACTCCACCGTTAAAGTACACGCTTCTCAATATTCTTCAAGGGAGGGATGCGCAATTGCATTGGAATAGATGTTCAACTAGTCTTGTCTTCCTTCGTTGAATCTGATTAGAAACCAATGGCTCATCAACTTTGGAACATTTTCGGCTTCAAAAACGTTCCAAACGATGAGAGTGTGAAAGCAAATCTCAGCGACGTGCAAATATTCAAGCTTATCAGTGGCTTGCGTTCTTATAACTTCAGCAAAAGCAGGAGACACCTTTGAGTCTAATTAGCTATCGAGTTACAGCTGTTTGTTTTGAGGCAGCCCTGCACAATAGTAGTACAGAGGAAACGAGGAAGAGGTGTTCGAGCAAATGTTTTTGAAAACAGTCATATTTGCAGTGCGCGTAACGCACCGGTCAACAAATCAACGGTTCTCCATCTGGAATCGGGCAAGGGATGTAGTCGTAAATAATTTCTAAAAGTAAATGAGGGATGGGAACAAAGGAGATAATGAAAGGACATACATTTGAGAGGTATAAAAACGTTTGTGCTTGTGGGCTCTGCTCAAGATTGCGCTATGCATTCGGCTATAAACAGAAAATAGAGTGCTCAACACCCATGCGATAACTT